GTAGTCGTATCTGCGAATAAGGTAATCTCAGACAGCCTCTCGGGTCATCTGAGGCGACTGGGACTCAGTGACGGACCGCAAATGCAGAACGCGGTGCTCCTCGATACCGCTCGCATCATTCGCCGGTTTTTTTCCCGTCCCTCCTAACCCTCAGCCGTTTGGTCTCCCCTGCCGATGGCTTCCATCTGGTTGGATCTTTATTTATTTATTTATTTTTTGTATTTATTTAATTTTATTGATATTTATGTATATTTATCGTTTCAATTTAATTTATAATTATATATTTATAGAACTCAACCAGATGAGAAACTATATAGATATCCCAAATAATAATGTCCTCCAGACCGAATTTCGGCCACAGCGGCCTGCCTCAGCGGAGGCTAGCCATCGGCGCGGGACAGGATTATAGTGCCCAAGTGTATGCGCAAGCACAGATGCACTCTCTATTCCCTCACTCTCGTAATCCGATGGGACGGTAAACCGACACGACCGGGAGAGAGATCAGGCACGGGGGTGAGACACCGCCAACTTACTGACTCCGGGCAGCTACTGAGAATTTCTTGACAGAAAACTCAATAATTGACTTTTCGAACCCTGGATCTCATGATCAGGAGTCGCACTACTACAACTACTAGACCAACGAGGCAGTCATTCAACGTCAACGAGACCAATTAACTATAATAGATATAAGAAAATAGTAGAATTTTTTTGTCATTCACTTGTTTTTACTTTCCAACAGAGCCCCAAATTCGTGTATGGCCAAGCCCCGGCATGACCTAAAACGACGTTGGGTGGTATAGTAGCATTACTTAGTTAAAAAAACACCATTGGGTTTTTTGCTGGTAGTTCTTAAAAGTAAAGTTTTACTTGCAATAAAAATTGTTTATATTCTATATTGAATAAAAATATTCTATTCTATTCCATTTTATAGCGTGCTTCCGAGCAATTTAATAAAGCTTATGAATAAATAAAGTAAAATACAGTAAAATTAGTGAGACACTCCACCAAGAGATGGCATCACATGTCATTTATATCGCAATAGGGGTTTATAGATTTCAAAATGATAAACTTTAGGCTTTCAATGTCTAATATGTTTTTGAAGTTGTGAAATTACTCAACATTATTTTTGCTAACTCTCGGGTTTTTGATTAAATGCCGAGAGTTTTTTGTCCGATGATCCGACATGATTTTATAGTGTGTCTTATGTCGCCTCTACACGTTGGCCAACACAGTGGCGAATGTAGTGGCGAATATATTGGCCGAGAGTTGGTGACGGCGTCCACACGTTGGAAGGTCGTTCAGTTTACTTCGGTTCGGGCCAATGTGCGGATGAATTTATTTTATTTTAGACGACGGCTCCGTGGCGCAGTGGCTTGGCAATGAGTGGCTGTGCCAGGGGTCGCGGGTTTGAATCCCGCACGGAACAAGTATTTGTATATCCTACAAATAATTGTTTCGGGTCTGGATGTGTGTCCTTGTGCAATTTATGTTTGTAAGTTGCCTCCGCGATAGAGGAGAAAATCCAAGTGTGGGGGGTAACATTTTTATAAAATAATTATAAAAGAATAGTGAATATTAATGGGGCTGTAAATAAATATACGATATACGATTAGCTTTATTTATTATTTACATGCATCAGAAACTGAAATAAATACCATTAATTAGAACTTAACTTATTTAAAAAGTTAAAGGAGTTATAATCGATTAGACTATGTTTTAAAATTGGGTTTTGTTTTTAAAGTTTAGCAAAACATGTACCTACTTGCTTTTCTATCAAACATTTGATGTATATAAAAACACCTTATAATTTATTTGGTAATTTAATTATTTTTTGAGAAAGACAAAAACAATAGCAATAAATATAATTAACACTGACTTAATAATATGTACTAATTATAACTTAGAGCATAAATGAAAAACTCAGGACAAGGAAAGTGGCTCAGGACCATGCTTTGCGGCATTCTTTGGAGGAGGATGTTCAGTAGTGGACTTGTGAAGCGCTGTAATGATGATGATGATTCGAAAACTTGCACGATTAAATTATAAGAAAACGACGCTTTTTTATATAGGATAGGGTGAGAAACGAGCACACAGTTCACCTGATGGTAAGTGGTTGCTGTGGCCCACAGACATCTACATCTATCCTCGATTACGAATCAAAATGCAGATGCGTTGTCACCCGTGAGGACTAAGATGAAATGCCTCGTTTCCTTTAAAAGGGTCTCTGGTTCTCTACACTCACTATACGAAACACAGCATCATTAAGCTACTATTTTACGCTGATATTCTGTGAGAGTGTGGTCCTTCCCCGGTCGAGCCGACCCACTCGTGCTACAACTATACTTCTAATATAATTGAATAAGTTGAAATTGGCACTAAAAGGCTGGTAAGTGGGGCATCCACCCTACAAAGCTATATATATATATATATATATATATATATATATATAAAAAAAGTGTGTGTGTGTGTGTATGTGTGTGTGTATGTTTGTGTGTGTGTGTGTGTGTGTGTGTGTGTGTGTGTGTGTGTGTGTGTGTGTGTGTGTGTGTGTGTGTGTTTTGGTAGAGAGTAAATTGATAAAAGTTTATTTAATTTATTATAAAGGTAACCTCCCAGGAATCATAAATGTTTATGCAAAAGTTTTGTCTTTAGAAGCTTACTGTACTGTATTTCCTTCTTTTGTCATTATTATAGGACTCTAGAATACTGTTTATGAGAATGTTGTAGCAGCGTAGTGTGCAATATAAACAATTTACGAACAGATAAGAACATACACTGTTGATAAAGGTCAGTTGTAGGACAACGGAATGGAAGAGAATTGCTAACTTTTAATAGTGCCCTCTGTGCCATTTCTAATTGCAATATGGTCGTTTTATTGTAAAGTCTTATTAAAAAATTACCTTTTCAGTGTCTATTACTCAATTACATCATCATCAATAGAGCGCCACAAGGATATTTAAATGCATCTTACATAAAATTCTAAATACATATCTATTTTATTAATAAATCCATTATCCGAGATTGCACTTAAACTACTCCATACTATTCCATAAAAATGTGTAAGTGTATAAAGTTTTGATACAGATCACAACATAATGTCATACATGTTGGCTTATATGTTGACATTTTCGGGATTTACAGCATCCTTAATCTAAGTTAGGCAAGAAATTGTGCTATTGATTATAAAAACAACTAAAAGCGATATGTATTCTAATGTATTAGCAACATTATACTTGCCAACAATCAATACACGAATTAAAATACGTAATATAAACTATAATAATAGCCTTAAATAAAATAGGGGAAAAGACAGCGAATATAAAACGGGGCGAGCCAGCACGATTCACATAATATGTTATACAATATAATTAATAATAATTTTTATAATAAAATGTCGCTATGAGATGCGTATAATTAGACAGGTCGTTATAAAAAAAAACTAAAATTGATATAATTAACCGTTTAAAAATTCTATAAAATTAAATCTTGGACGTTGTCAATATTTATTTGTAAAGTCTCAAATTTTTCAATGCTTGTTTTTATGACATCGCCTACAGCGGCCGTATTGCCATAAACTATAACTGTCAAAATTTTTATTTTTATTTTTATTTAGGCGATAAGTATACGCATCTCCAGTAACGGCAATAAGTCTGTTATATTCACGGATCGACGAAGGAGATCATGATGTAGCGCGTGCCGTTCGTGACCAGCAGACCCTCGTGGTAATGCGTAAGGCGGCCAGGGTGCATAAGAAGCCAGCCCGGCTTTGTATTCCGGACCGAACAGTTATAGCGAAGGAAATGACAACCACCGCCTTCGTTGTCCATATCTGTAAGTAAATAAATTTTTTGATAAATAATGTTAAAACAATATAACACATAATAATGCGTGATGCAAAAATTTTGTAGCCCTTTTTAAGCATTTTGTGCTCAACGAGGATTGAGATTTGGGAATGCAGAAATCTAAAATGTCTATATAATACGTGTTAAAATTAAATTGAATAAAGCATTGATTAGCGTCAAACACACAATAGTCTGTGGGCAAACGTTCGCACAGAGTATAAGACTATCAATATTTTGAGGTACCTTTTACACTATAACCAAAGAATTTTAAAATATTGCCAACAAATAATTACTAAGTACCCGGTTGACCGAGCTTTGCTCGGTATTTTTCGCTCGGTTTTTTTTTAACTCGTGTGTTTTGGAAATTATATTTAGATACGAATTACATACTGATGAAATACTAATAATATTTTTTTATCTTAGCGACAAAATAGAAAAAACTGAACTGGTTATTTGAATAAAAAATCATGAGTGCAATAAGTTTAATTTAAATTTTCGTGTTTTAAAAAATACTAAAAAAACGAAAAAAATTCCAAAGTAAAAAGGAAAAAAAAAATTAAAAATCGTTCCTGTTTACGATTTTGTACCAATTAAGCTATTTGTAATCATTAATAAACTGTCAAAATCCTAGCTAGATCGATTTATTGCCCCTATATATATATATATAATATATATAAAGGGAGTCGGGCAAAAATAAGATAGAAAATGTCTTTTGTTGTTTTTAGGCAATAAAAACTCTACAATATTTAGAATAAGAAGGTAAATTTGACAGTTATTAAATTAAAATAGATATATATATATATATATATATATATATATATATATATATATATATATATATATATATATATATATATATATATATATATATATATAGAATTGCTCGTTTAAAGGTATTGGATTAATTTTGACTGACATGGGGAGTAAAGAACTTCGGGCATGTAATAAATTTAAAATTACTTGCACCTTAAAGATAATGCACTACCAAATTTTTTTAAGCCGCGAACTGTGCTTTCTGCTTTGAAATACAAAATAAATTCCGGAATAGATTCCTGATTCCGGAATATTACTCTAAATATGCGACATCTTTCGTACGTTAAAGTTCGGCCGTGAACCGCGACGCGATTAGATTTAATTTCACCTCCTACGAACACAGACATGCAAACATCTTGTGATATTAGTGTAAGGCGATTTAATATTGGTGAAAAGTTTTGTGCGCGTTGTTATATGCCCCGTAAACCATTTTGGTGCAAAGCTACAATTTTAAGTAGAGAAGGTAACAGAATATATGCGGTTCCAGTTGCTGGTCAAGGTCTCTGCGAGCGACACGTAGACCAACTGCTGCAATGTACGGACAGAGACAAACCACACGAGACTGCAAATGACGTATGTTATGTATCAGTATTTCACCCGCAGTATCCGACTGCCATCTCCCCTGCACCTCCTCCCGATGTTATGCCAGATAATAAAAATAACGCTCTGCCAGACAGCACAACATCCTCGAACACGCATTCTTGTGCCGACACATCTTCACGAGAAGGCAGTGAGCCAACTTTAACGCTAGATGCGGATAGACGCGAGGCGGTGGTGGCAGATGGGCATAGTGTCTCTGTGGTAGGGATAATAATCGATCGAAAGGATGGTGGGGAACAACCAGAGTCTGCTGTTGCACCTAAGCCCGGTCCTTCCCCTTCCACAATGTGATACCGAACAAAGCATCCCCGCTTCCGTTATAATCCAAGACCAAGAAAAAAGAAAATAAAAACTATAAATTACCTTTTTTTGCTGTTATTTGGTTCTCAAATTAATGCGGAAGAGGATGATGTATATACGCACAATATACGCACAAGTATCAATCTGAATCATCATCATCACCATCATTACATCCCTTCACAAGTCCACCGCTGAACATAGGCCTCCCCCAAGTTATACCACAAAGCACGGTCCTGAGCCACCTGCATCCATCGACTTCCTGCATGTCTTACCAGGTCGTCACTCCATCTAGTGGAGGGTCGCCCTACACTACGCCTACCGGTACGAGGCTGTCACTCGAAAACCTTTCTTCCTCATCGGTTATCGGTTCTTCAACCTATATGGCCGGCCCATTGCCACTTCAGCTTACTAATCCGTTGGGCTATGTCGGTCACTCTGGTTCTATTGCGAATATGCTCATTTCTGAGTCTATCACACAAAGAAACTCCGAGCATAGCCCTCTCCATAGCTCGCTGAGCGACCTTGAGCGTCCTCATACGGCCAGTAGTGAAGGACCCCGTCTCTGATCCGTAAGTCATCACTGGCAACACGGACTGGTTGTACACTTTAATTTTCAGAGATTGAGATATACCTGACGAGAAGATGTTTCGTAATTTCCCGAACGCTGCCCAGCTGAGTTGAATCAGTCGATTGACCTCTCGGTCGAAGTTGGACTTACCTAGTCGGACTATTTGTCCCAGGTAAACATACTCGTCAACAACTTCGAGCATAGTGCTCCCAACAACTAACGGCATAGGTGTGACATGAACATTGAACATGATCTTTGTTTTGTCCATGTTCAACTTAAGAGCTATCCGTTGGGAGACACCATTGAGGTCATTGAGCATAGTGCTAACGTCCTCCAGCGATTCTGCCAAAAGAACTATATCGTCGGCAAATCGAAGGTGAGTGATGTACTCGCCATCGATGTTAATACCGTATCCTTTCCAGTTCGTGAGGCTTGAAAACGTCTTCCAATTCAGCGGTGAAGAGTTTAGGGGATATAACGTCACCCCGTCTTACATCCTTCTGCAGTTGCATAGGTTTTGTACTCTGGTTCTGTACTCGGATAGCCATCGTAGCCCTACTGTACAAACACTTCAGCACCTCGACATACCAACAGTCAACTTGGCACTGAAGAGACTGTAGCACCGCCCAAATTTCGACGGAATCAAAGGCTTTCTCATAGTCTACATACGCCAGGCAAAGTGGCAGATTGTACTCTTCGGACTTCTGCACAATTTGCCGAAGGGTATGTATGTTGTCTATAGTACTAAAGCCTTTTCGGAAACCGGCTTGTTCGGGAGGCTGGAAGTCGTCGAGGGCGAGACGATTCGTAATGACTTTCGAAAATAGCATGTAGACCCGGCTCAGAAAGGAAATCGGTCTGTAGTTCTTCAAGAGAGCGATATCGCCTTTCTTGAAGAACAAGACCACCGCACTTCTGCTCCACGCCTCGGAGGTAATGCCTCCTTGGAGGACGGAATTAAAGAGTTTCTGAAGGACTTCAAGTACCGGTTTTCCACCCGCTTTCAAAAGCTCCGCTGTAATTCCATCCTCGCCCTGGGACTTGCCATTTTTAAAGTGCTGGAGAGCCACTCTAATGTCGCTCAGACTGACATCCGGAATATCATCGGAATAGTGTCAGATAAGACTTGCTCTTGGATCGTTACTCTCACTTGCGTATGGCTCCAACGATTATGTGTACAGCTGCCCATAGAACCTCTCAATCTCACTCAAAATCTCAGGTGTCCCGGAAAAGATGCTGCCACACTCAGCTTTCAGCTTTGACGGTTGGCTCTTTCTGGCAGAAAGATCTCTGGCAACAAAAGAGTCTTTGGACAAAAACTTTGGAGTCCTGGTTCCGCTCAACCGCTTCTTCAATACGAGTTGTATTGAAGTTGCGTCAGTCCTGCCGCATGCATTTGGAGATCTGTCTGTTCAGTTGCCTGTATGCTGTTAAATCTGCTGAAGACTGCAGCTACATCTCCCGTCTAACAGCCATGAGATTAAGAGTGTGATCAGAGAGTTTTTGTGTTCTTCTGCGGCGTGTCTTGCAGGACTTTTTCCACAAGCTTGTCATTCATATCGTCCACTGTAACTAGAAGAAGAAAACTAGAAGAATGAATCAGTAATAAAATAATTCTCTGGCAGTACGGTCTTTTCATTTAAAGTTAGTTATAGATCGCATTGGTTTAATAACTGTAATTATGTTGTAATTGTGTAATAAATAATAAAAATAAATAAATAAGCAGCACACTACAAGGTTACACTCTGTATAAAAAAATCTTTGAATGATGTCAAGTAAATATATTATTTCGTATTTGCGTGTGTGATACTTTCAAATAAAAGATTTTTGATACGCAGATAAAATATCGACCTGCGTAGTCTGTGACTCGCTTAACAGACGCAAACGTCTGGTACTATGATCGTCAAGTCATTTGCTATGCATGACTTAGACAAATTCTCCCTACAATGGGAGAAGCTTATGTCCAGAGGTAGACCTTTGACTACTGATTACTATGTAGAAGAAAGAGTCGCTTACGTTATGGTAGTAGCCAATGAAGACCATCTCCTGTAGAGGACGGACGTACTTCCTTGAGGATATGCAGCCACTGCCTCTCCAGCCCTAATTGGATCATGTGGATATCGCGGATGGGAACTGCATCGTAGCCACTCTCCAGACGCTTGTCCTGGAATAGGTAGAAGAATCTTTTAAAGATTCGATTTGAAGATTTCGATCTAATTATAATAATAATAGATATATGGGCAGATATGGTCATCATTTTTTTAAAGAATTACGGTGACAAACGAGCACGTAGTCCACCTGATGATAAGTGGATGCTCTGGCCAAATGACACCTACATTTATCCTCTATGAAGATTAATAATAGCTCTATACCAGTAAAATAGGTTCATCTAGTAGATTAATAATTTATTTAATACATGTATTTGTTTGCAATGCAGTTTAAAGACCTTACTGTTGGGATTCGTTTCCCAACAGTACACACGCAAAGCACAAGTGTGCAGAGCAACGGTGGAAGCACTGCGGGGCAGGGGGCGGGCCCACCTTGTGCTTGCGCACTTTACTGAGTCTGATAGACAATACATGCGGTTTCGCGAGCGTGTTTTATAGTATGTATTTGTTTACCTAATTTTAATTGCCGTTTTCGAAAAATATAATATCTAGCAATTTGAATTACTGTTATAATTATGTGTTACTAAGTAAAATTGAAATTTCCTTTCCTGACATCAAAGGCGTTTCACAACTGTAAGGTCTAAACCGTGCTAATGCTAAACTCACAAAAATATAGTATTCCAAATCGAGTTGAAATGACTATAATTGTTATGCTATATAAAGTAGAAAATAAGCTATTTCCCTTATTGCAGTGTTTCTATGATTTTGTTTCTATCAAGAAGGGAGAGGGATGAATCTTTAAAATAAATTTAACTTTTAATAACGACTTAAACCAAGATTCGTTTGGGTACGAGATAATTTATTGTGGATGTTTAATTTTAAAATAAAAAAGAAAAACTGGCTTCCACACATATAACCGTTTAGCATCGTTTACTTGAGTATAAATAACTCTATGTTTGTCTCCGTCTATTGACAATTAGTGAAGAAAAAGTTACCAATTTAAAGCATGTCGTATATTTCAAAGATTAAATCTTTGGCATTTATTTTTATAATTAACACAGCAGATGTTTATTTGATAACTTGAGACTATGACGTCATTAATTTCCATTCTCATACAATTTTACAAGGTGTGCTGTTAGTATGAACCAAAGCTGTTAATATGACAAAAATCCCTTGAAAGTTACACCCAAGCGGAACAAAAAAAAAAAAAAATAAATTAAAAAACAAAAAAAAAAAAAAAAAAAAACTTACGTTATTGGATCTGTTACTCCACTGGCCGAAGGCCTCCATGATCGCAATCCACTCGCTGCAGAAGCGCATCGACATCCACGGGACCCAGTACACGTCGGGGCATGGCTGTCATAAAAATCGTACAAAACATAAATGGATATAGAGATAAATAGATTAAAAATAAGAGGTTACATGTATGAACTGAATAATTCACATATAATAACTCACAAGAATTTTATATATTAATTATTGAAGAGAAAAGTTTGTTCTCCTTTTCAAGCATATTGCGAACACGAAAGACTGTAACATTTGGCACAGCTAAAGTTTATACGAAGAAGGAGTGCAGAAAGCGAAAATTTATTATAATATGTGTTATAAATTCATTAAATAAAGTAAAACATTAATTGTTTACGTTCATACTGCCAATGTCAAACACATAATTAGTGTGTGGTCAAACAGTCGCACGGAGTAAACTTTGGCGCCATAGATTTATATACTAATATATAGTTGACACGAGTAACCCGGGTTCGATCTCCGCCGGTAACAATGAAATCGTTAATTGCAATTTTAAGTGCTGATATCCCACGTTCTCGGTGGTGAAGGAAAACATCGTGAGGAAACCTGCATGTCTGAGGAATAAAAAAAAATTCGAAGACATGTGAAGTTCGCCAATATGCATTGGGGCAGCGCGACGGACACTTCCTTGCCCTAAAACCCTCTCAGAAATGAAAGGAGGCTTGTGCCGAGCAGTGGGACGTAAATAGGCTGTAACTTTACTTTTTTATACAGTTGACAGCATAAATACATTGAGAATTGAGAATAGAGATTAATATTGAGAATTAAAAAAATATTTCGAAGACATGTGAAGTTCGCCTACACGCATTGGGGCAGCGCGACGGACACCACCTTGCCCTAAAACCCTCTCAGAAGTGAGGGGAGGCCTGTGCCCAGCAGTGGGACATATATAGGCTGTAACTTTACTTTACTACTTTTATGTATATTGAGATTAAAAAGCTAATTGTACAAATTTAAAATTTAGTTGGCAGATGTCGCGTAACACATACAAAACATACCTCGTTATATTCTTAAGTCGGCTAAAAATCGAAGCTCACCAATTTATAACCTTAGCTCGATATCCGCTAAAAGAGTTTTGTCTCCAGCATTCCCTTATTAGCCCTAGCACGAATCCAATGGATTCTAAATTGAATCTAATGCATGACTTCAGCACTTACCATTAAATATTCGCGTCCCTCCTCGAAGTTGACCGCATAATCCACATACAGGTACACACATGCAGTAATACACATGCAGGTATCGTTTCTCCCACTCTAACTTAATGTCTAGCACTTGGTAAATGTCCAGATGCGGCCGGGTGATGTCAAAGGTCTCCGGATTCACCAGGTGGCCAAGTTCCCGCTCGTTGCTAACATGCATCATGATGTCCTGTAAAGAATAATTGATTTCTTACATCTATTCCATTACAGTTTATAAATGTCCACTGCTTAACGTAGGCTCAGGATTTTGCCATAGTAGCCACGCTTGGCTGGCGGGTTCGCAGCCGCGATTTTTATTATTTTTAATTTTTATCAGGAAGATGCTGCTTCCCATCTTCCGTTTTAATTTCTCTCCGTCGCCTCTTACGACACCCACGGGAGGATATGGGATAGTAGTTATTCGAACACCGCTAAGTACACAATGTCATCATATGGCATTTTTGCTATGGGGAAATGCAGCTGATTTAGAAACTATTTTTGTTTTGCAAAAGAGGGTCATAAGAGCTATTTACAACTTAAAACCGTGAATGTCTCTTAGAGAAAAAATTAAAGAAATAATTTAATAAAAGTAAAGAATAAATTAATTTTGAATATAATAATTTAGTTTAAAGTATTAAAATTATCTGAAGTTGTGAAGGAAACGTATTATACATTTTACAAAAATAGTTGTTAAAAATAATTTTTGTCATTGCTTATGTACTGAAATTGAATCTGCAAACTTTACATTTTAGACGAAATATACCCACACAAGGTTTTTAAACCAATACCAAGTATTAATAAATATTTTTTCGCAGACACGTAATAAGAAATGTTAAGTTTCGTTCAAATACTTAGTTTGTTGACGGCTAATTACACTCAGGGTTGACTTTTCTATCAGCAGATTCATCCAACAAGTTCAATAAAATGTTCATCTATCTAAAAAATTATAACCCAGTTGAATAAAAAATAAGTCCTTTATTCATAAAATTGTAATTTTTAATTTATTTCTGTTGTGTTTTATCCTATGAATAAATTTTATTGAAGGATTGGAACACCGGATTGCCTGAACAATAAATGGGTGATGACGGTGTATATTGTGTGAGCACCATGTTGTCAACAAATGCCGTGAAATTCGACAAAGCGGTTTGAGAGACAAGCTACAGGTTTCCAACTATTCATAAAATTGATGTTATCAATATTTTTCATAATTCGGAACATACCGACCCAAGATTATATTTCAATAAAATAGATAATCTTAAATAAGAATAAGTGTAAGGTGCAGTGGCGAAGCCTCTAAAAAGCCCGGCTGGCCTCATTAAGATGAATCAATCAATTATATCAAGTAATAAAATAACTCGTAAACTGTTTCAAACTATTTCAAATTTCCCGCGCACTCCGTTCGACCTCGTAGCCTTACGAATACTGCTTCCATACATATTACATATAAGGAGAGTTGAATTGAGCCATTGGTTGTCTCCCTCGCAGACGTGGGCTTTTTACCGGGCTTTCGAGAAGGCGATCGCTCCCTTTCTAACATGTGGCAAAATGTTCTATAATGAAATATAACTACGATTGTATAAATAGCAATTAGTATGGAGATAAAAAGCCCGGCTTTTTAGTGACCATTATTTTTTTCCTCAGAGCGGGACGCCTTTAAAATTATTATAGTTCTAACACTTTTGACTGCCTTCTTGGTCTAATGGCAGTAAACACAATTGCTGATCATGTGCTCCCAAGCTAGAAACCCGAGTCGGGTCAAGAATTATTTATTGGGTTTTTCCGTCACATAATTCTCAGTAGCAGTAACATAACAACACACTTATTGTATATGTTAGTATTATACTTACGCCGTTACCAAAATTCAATCTGGAACTCTTTAATATAGTTTTATAAATAAAAAAACATAGCTGTTTGAGTTTTTAATGATCAAAAGATCTAACTCAATCTTGAAAATATATTATGTTATTTGATAATTTATTGTAGATTAATTAAAAATTGTCACTTCGTAACTTTAAATTCAAAAGAATTAGAACTTTCTAGACTTTTCAGAATAATCACGTAACTCGACAAGCTATGCAAATCTGGTACGCGCGGTGTCATAATGATGGCAAATGGGTTTGCATGATTGTCACGCTTTTGTTTGTCAAAGCGGGACATTTTTAAGTATTTTGGGGATAGCGCGACACAACCTTAAAATCGGGAACTTCCTGCCTAAAGTGGGACGTATGGTCACGTTAGGTATGAAGTTAGTCGAGAGAGGAGACGCGCCCGACGCCGACGAGTCGCCGGTATGTTAGTAAGTTCACGTCACATTTCAATGTTTAGTGTTTACATTGTGTCAAACAGTGATGCTAACTTAGCAACTTTATAGCTAGATAGAAAATAGAAATAACTTGTAGAGAGTCAAGAAAGTGCGCGCGCGAAAGAGCCCTGAGCAAGTACCGCGTGCACCTCTCGTGATTCGGCCCGTATAACCGCAAGGTTGGTGGGGCCATGGGAGGTGGAGGGTTGCTCTTTAACCAGCTCAGGAAAGAGAGATGACCTGTGTCCAGCAGTAGGACGTATATAGGCTGTCATGAGAATAATCTTCACCAGATGTCGTTAGTAGGGACTGAGGTGAAATGTTTGGTTGCGCAGTATCATGTAAATCATGTAATTGAGAAGTAGCGTTTTCTATAAAAATCGTAGCTCGTTGGTTCCATTGTACAACTTATTAAGATCCATAACTTCTTTATTTTTGTAATTTTTGTTTATTTTGTGTACGCTAAAGTTATGTTTATTACCGGCTATTCGTCACGGCTTTGCTTGGATACGATTTATTCATGTGATAATTTTTCTTTTTTCAATGTAAATCTTTATGTTTTTCGAATAAAATAACCTAGATACCTCCTGGTACTGCTCTCTATCTGTACTGTTTTATCACAATCAGTTTAAACGTGAGATTAGCCCGAACAAACAGACAGACACACAGACGAGTAGACAGAGCGATAGACATTTTTGTAAATGAATGAACAACCGTTTTTAAAATTTTACTTAGATTTAATGCCATGCAAATAACCCTTTGCGTTTAGTAGACGTATTAGCCACTTATTGCAATATTTACACAGAGATACCTCAATTTTGTTTATATGCACTTATAAAGTACTATTAGTTTTGTTTATTACATATATAACGCGGCGAAACGTACAGGTATTAAACGTGTATAAATAATGACTGAGTGCTGTAAAGCACATGAAACGTCAGGATTTATATAGTTAGAATTAGTTTCATTCAATTATATATTTTTGACAAACAAGCACACGGTCCACCCGATGGTAAGTGGTTGCTGTGGCCCATAGACATCTACATCCATCGTCGATTACGAATCAAAATGCAAATGCGTTGTCACTCGTGAGGACTAAGATGGAATGCCTCTTTTCCAGTAAAAAGGATCTCCGGTTTCTACACTCACCATACGAAACACAGCAGCGTTAACTAGCTATTTTACGCTGGTATTATGTGAGAGCGTGATCCTTACTCAGTCGAGCCGACCCATTCGTGCTACAACTATACTACTAAAATAGTTGCAGTATGGCTGTTTGACGTAAAATATTTTTTCTTTTTTAAATAATCTAGACACAGGTGTGTTTTCCAAACTAGGCTGACCTAGTTTGGAAAAGAAAAGGGCCACACGTTAGGAGTGTGTACAGTCCACACCTATGTACAAACGTACGAACTATTTTGGACTAGTTTCGAGCCCCTTATTAGTCATAAACATTTAGACCTATTTAATTTTATTGAGGCACGAATTGAATATTTAGGATCCAAACTTCACGAATTAACCTATTATTATTCTTGAGTTGTAGGGGCTAAATCACTTCTAGATGAAGTAGACACTTAAATTTCGACATCATACTACGCGAACACAGTCCACCTCATGAAAAGTGGATGCTGTGGCCCATAGACATTCTACATCTATCCTCTATTAAGAATCGAAATGCAAATGCGTTGTCACCCTTGAGGACTAAGATGAAGAAGAGAAACACATATAGATGCTATTTTACACTTTCTGTGAGAGCGTGGTCCTACCCCGGTCGAGCCGACCCATTCGTGCTAAAAGTATAATATTACCGCAGCGGAGCCCTACCACATATACCTACCTACAGATATAGGGTATGATATATTATTTACATATACCTACAAATATAGGTTATGATATAGGGTACAATGTATAATTTACATATTACGAAGATATCGTTAGGCGTATACATCTTCTTTCGAAAGTACTTAGCTCTGACGCTACAGTCTATTGAAATTTATCATGTGCTGTCAAATTCCAAGTGTCCTGGATACTTAAAAATTTAGGTCGCCTATTTTCTGCTGGGTTTCTTTATTCAAACAAACTCTAGTTAAAAGCTGGGACTACGTATAAACTAGTGAGGTACGTGAGGGTAATATGGTCGTCTCAAGCGTTGCCGTCCTTTAAAACAAAACTAGAACCAGGACAAAAACTCAAAGTTGTGTACTATAACTAATATATTAAGCCAAAAATAGTAAACAAGCTCTGGTAATACATAGGAACACTTCTAGAAAGCAACAAAGAAAAACTAACTACACTACACCATACTTAAATCGACTAAAATATTTACTATAATGTCAATTGTTAAAATGGTGTCTATAACGCACCGTCCTTATGAACCCTAATTATTTGAGTGGCCGGTGATGAGCTATCGTATCACAAAACCCCATTCAAGCAAGTTTTTGCGTTATAAGAAAGTGACCATATTAACTGGATGACCATATTATCCTTACGTACTATATTTATAACTGTGTATAAATTAGTATTTGTAATAAGACTGAATAATGAGTTTAATTTAAACACGATAAAAGCCGTGAAATTCCTTCAGAAGCTCTTTAATTCCATCCTCCGTGGTGGAACTACTCCGGAGACATGGAGCAGAAGTGCGGTGGTCTTGTTCTTCAATAAAACAACGCTCTATTGAAGAACTACAGAACGATTTCCCTCTTGAGTCGCGCCTACGTGCTGTTTTCGTGAGCCATTACGAATCGCACGGAGACTCGACGACTTCCAGCCTCCCGAACATGTCGGCTTCCGAAAAGGCTTCAGTACAATATTTGCGCGAAATTTGGGCAGTGCTATAGCCCTTTCAGCTGAAAGTCGGTATATCGAAGTGTTGAAGTGCTTGCACACTGGGCTACGATGGCTATCCGAGTACAGGAGTAAGAAACCTATTCAACTTCAGAGAGATGTAAGACAGGGTGACGTTATATCCTGAAATTCTTCACCGCTGCATTGGAAGATGTTTTCAAGCTACTGAAATGGAAAGGATACGGTATTAACATCAATGGCAAGTACATCACTCACTTTCGATTTGCCGATGATATAGTCCATATGGCAGAATCGCTGGAGAACCTAAGCGCTATGCTCAATGACCTCAATAGGGTCTTACAACGGATAGGTCTTAAGATGAACATTGAAAAAACAAAAGTCATGTGTAACGTTCAAGTCACACTTATGCCGGTAGTTGTTGGGAGCACTATGCTCGAAGTTGTTGAGTACACCTGGGCCAAATAGTTTGACTAGGTAAGTCTAACTTCGACCGAGAGGTCAATCGACGCATTCAACTTGGCTGGGCAGCGTTCGGGAAATTACTTCACATCTCTCGTCTGGTGTACCTCTAAACCCGAAAGTCAGTGATAGCTTATGGATTTGTGACGTGGTTCTTCACTGCTGGCCGTATGATGACGCTCAAGGTCGCACGAAATTGAGGGAGTGCTGGAAATGTTATTCAAACCAAGTAAGACACATCATTTTATTTTATTTTATTATTACAATATTTAAATTTAATGAATCAATCTGAAGTGGCAAGTGGCAATATAGCTCGAAGGACTTGCAACCGATGGGTGAGAAAGGACCTCGACTGGCAGCCTCGTACCGAGGAACGAGGTGTAGTGTTGCCCCCACTTGATAGAGTTGAGTAAGAGATGAAGGATGTTGAATGTTCAGCTGCAATAATGATGATGACGATGCAATGTATTTTATGTTGTTACTAAAAACGACAATGTTAGAAGTAAAGTTATACTTACTCGATCGTTGATTCTTAATAAAGTACAGCTGGAGTCTCTCCTTGAAAGTGTTTTCGTTCACGTAATAGTCCACTCACACTCTGTAACAATAAAAAAGAAAAACTACGGTTAATCAAACCACTTCAAACATAAGGATCGATCTAAACTGCTGCTGAACAATATTGACTTTATTTCAAATCACACGTGTGACGAAATAATGGACATTGAATAAAGTTTACTTTTACAGAATAAGGTTTACACGCAAGCACACAGTCTGCCTAATAGTAAGAAAGTACCAATAGATAACTAAATTTATCATCTATCAAAAATCTAAATACAGATGAGCAAATCTCTTTACAGTGGGAGAGTAAACTGTGAGTTCTGAAAACGTATATACGCTTTGGTATGACTGGTTAAGAAAAGAATGGGGTTTTAAAGATCGACTGTTACTTCTTTGTATTGTCTTTTATTATCTACACTCAATCAAAACAATATTGATTGAATAATTATTAGCTTTGGTACGTTACACCTATCTATTTGCTCAATGCTTGTCTGTCTAATTTAAATGCTGTCTAATTCTGATTTAGTGAAATTAATTTTAAAAATACACTTTACTTATTATAAGTTTTTGATAAAGCAAGTCCCCAGTACTAAGTTCAAAATACAAATGTAGAAAGGGCGATATTCTTTAAACACTGTCTCTTCTTGTTTCCTATTTTTATCGGTTATAATATTATAGTGATTTGAGTATCGAAGTTGTTTGTATAATTTAAGCACATGCGTACTTACTCCTTGTGTATACAACATATATATATAGTATTTTTAAAATTAATTTCACTAAATCAAAATTAGACATGAGTTCATGACACAAAAGTAAATGCCAGATTGTGCCCGTAAAAAATTATAATTTAAACTTTAAAAGCAGCGATAGCAGAAACTAAGTTTAAATTAATACTGAAAATTTATAAGGGGGATGACAGGATCTTACATTTTAAAGTCCGTGAATATTATAATAATACAAAACAAAAATTTAAACTGTGAGATTATAAATTACGTAAACTGAAGTGAAAGCCGATTTTTTGATATCTAATTACTATTAAAATACATAAAATTATTTTATATAATTTGAGGGTCGCTGTCGCTTTAGGCTACGTATTGTAACGCTCTCCCCCCCCCCTCTATAAAAAATATGTAAATATTGAATATAATTAATTCCCCTTTATAATAAAAATTATATATAGTATACGTAGGCGGTCCCATTATGAATTGGCCTAACTATGAACCAATGAAGGAAATGAAACGAAACCAATTTTATTTTTCAATATAATCACCATGAATACTAACACACTTCTGACATCTGTGAATCAACATCTCTAAACCTTTATAAAAATAATCACATTTTTTATCCTCAAAATGACTGAAGACGGCCGCCTGCAACTCTTCATCGCTTGAAAATTTTCTTCCTCTTAAGTTAAATTTGGAAATAAATAATAGTCGGACGGGGCCATGTCTGGACTGTAAGGTGGATGTTGAACTTCTGTGAACCCGCATTGACGAACTGCATCCTTCGAAACACCAGCGGTATGAACAGGGGCGTTGTCATGGAGCAACAGGACACCTTTAGACAGCTTGCCTCTTCGTTTTTCCTTTATCTTGTCTCGTAATTTATATATTAAAGAAGCATTATATTCGCCGTTCACGACTGTATTAAGTTCTTTAAAATCCACCATCAAAATGCCTTAAAAATCCCAAAATATTGTGCACATCAGTTTTTTAGTCGATTGTTGCACCTTTGCCTTTCTAGGGGGCTTTTCACCCTTATAACGCCATTCCATTGACTCGCGCTTGCTTTGTGGATCATAATACAAGATCATAGTTTCATCACCAGTCACTAGCCGCTCGATCACAGTCTTTGGATTTTCGCCACGAAGATCCAAAAACTCCGAAGCGCAGCGCACTCTTTCCTGTCTCTGTACCGCTGAAAGAAGTTTCGGTACCCATCTTGCACTCACTTTTTTCATGCGAAGATGTTCATGGATCGCGCGATGAACGGTACTCTTAGAGAGCCCAAGCCTTGCTGCAATTTCTCTAATTTTCAAACGGCGGTCACTCAGAACCTCCTCTTTGATAAGAGCAATCGTTTCGGGAGTGACCACTTCCACAGGTCGATCGTCGTGGCCAAAGTCTTCGACGGTTTCTCTCCCGAGGCGAAACTCTTTCACCCAATTTTGCACTGTGCTATAGGAGGAGGCAGACTCCTTATACACGCCATCCAATCGTTCTTTTATTTGGGCAGGGGATAAACCTTATTTAAACAGAAATTTTATGACACTTCGATACTCAGTTTTCGACATTTTGAAAAAAATACGCGACTCTCGTTATTCAAATACCTGTTAAACTAAGACTAAGCATTTCATGTCAATGCATGTTTCTTATATTAAGTGCACAATAAACGTACTATTTAATGCAACACAACATGTAGCGACATGTTGCGTTGAACTATATCAGGCCAGTTCATTATGGGACCGCCTGGTATGTGACTAGGATAAATAAAATATGTTTTGGTCTTTCTAAATGATCTTTTTAAAGAATTAATAATAGGCCGTTTGTAATATTTTGGCGTGATCGACTTAGTTAGAACCCTTATTTACGTTGTGTTTGTTTAGTAACTTAGTTCTTTTAGGTGTCCTTTGGAAGAATGATTATTCACTAGAGCAATTGAAAGCTGTTGGTAGTGCCTAATAAGCTAAATGAACCCCGTTCACGAAGACAGGGCTCGAGAAAGGTTAAGAACATAAAACGTCCCAATTCCACTTGTATCAGGTTTACATTATTAATTATCCCTTCCCGCTCGGAAAAGGCTCAAAATATATTTATACAAAATACCCGATACAAGGCCTTCGCTCTCCTACATTTATTTAAAAAAAAAAATGTAGGGGGAGGTACACGGCCCCACACACGCCGTGCTCGGTGAGTGCCAACCATTTTGATGCACTCCCCCCCGAAGGGAACGCTAATTCGGGAATTGGACCGTAGTCCACAGCAAAATAACTGGCGAACCAGTAAAAGAGGCTTGGCCCCTTGTTAGTGCGTAAGTACAAATATCGACCGAAGTCGCGCATGTCAATGCGTGTAAACGCCATACAGAATACGAACGAATCCAGCCACAGTGAATGTACGTCACACGGTTTAGGCAAATAGGCACACTGGCCGTAAACCCTCCGTGAGCGCCACCACCTGCCAGACCACCGCTCCTGCAGACGTGATGTAAGTGTATGGAATCACCACCAATTGCATGATCAGCACGGCTACTAGCCGCAGAGCGTGTCATGAGTCTACCGCTCACCTCAAGGGAATGGGGTCCCACGTTGTGCGGCTTTCGGCCGCAGCCTTGAGAGTCTCCTCAGATCCTCCCGCCAGCTACCACCCGCATGAGGTCGACACATATGCTCCACCAACCAATACAATGGCAGATATAGCCAAAAGGCAGTTATAAGATAAGAGTAATAATTCGCCATCAGAAAGGGTTTGTGTCACTGACGTTGAGTAAATGCATTTTCGATCATGTTTGTCTCACCCACCAACAAGTTGCCTTCAATCATTCAAAGGTGGGAAAGTTACAGAGATATAATATTATGTTGTTATATAAAACATAGTGGAGGGCAGACAGTCTGCAGCCCCGCAATGAAGGGACCGGACTTGGCAAAGCTACTTAGGCGTGAGTCAAACCAAGACGCAGAGAGCGCCATTGAGAATAGCGTCCCACCAAACAACCATCGCAGAGACGCAATGCTGCAGAACGCAACAAGCATCAATACGACTAACGTCGGGCTTACACCATTCCAAGGTCCCCCATACATCTCAGCAAACATCACCACCCGCATACCTCCATCGACCAGAACCACAAGAGAGCGTCGAATCAGGCGCAGCACACCCGTAGATCCATCACAAGACGCAATACCGCAAGTAGCAGTAAGCATCAATGCAACTATCATACGGATGGCGCCCCCTCACAACACACGCACATGATCCCTATCGACTTTGGTAACAAAGTTGGTATTGTTGTTATATAAAAAATATCACCAACGTATCATAGTAGCACGCTACTAAGACGTCAATGAACAAAACTCCACGTATCATAGCGCTAATGCACTAAGACATGAAGTTGAGTATGCCTGTTACACTTAAAAGTGCTACCAAACACACTCATCATCCCAATCCGAAATATAGACGACGCATCGCTATGAGCTACTACGCCGCCCACAAACGGTATGCGTGTGCGATGTCCACGGGAAAGCCGTATTGCTACAACAAACCCGCTTACCACCGGCACTAAGATGATATGTCTAGGACACATCGGTTAGCGAGTCCAAGTTTACCTCGGACCAATTGCTCGTGAAGCAGCACACACGCCACCATAATATTCCTTTTCAAGTCCCTAATAAGGACTAGTCATTTTGCTACAGTACTAGGAGCAGTCAGTCACCCGACCACCCCATACAATGCTTATGCATCAAGGAGACCTCCTATAATATTGCTTTTGTATCATAGACCTTACTTTCATAAGTCATGTATATATAGGATTCGAACCCACGACCCTACTATTGAGATGCATATTAATCATAGAGACCTTCTATAGTATTGCTTTTGAATCATAGACCTTACTTTCATAAGTCATTCATATATAGGATTCGAACCCACGACCCTACTATTGTGATGCATATTAATCATAGAGACCTTCTATAGTATTGCTTTTGAATCATAGACCTTACTTTCATAAGTCATTCATATATAGGATTCGAACCCACGACCCTACTATTGTAATGCATATTAATCATAGAGACCTTCTATAGTATTGCTTTTGGATCATAGACCTTATTTTCATAAGTCATTAATATATAGGGTTCGGAACCCACGACCCTACTATTGTAATGCAAATTCATCATGGAGACCTTCTTTAGTATTGCTTTTGTATCATTGAGTTTAATATCATAAGTCCCTAATATAGGACTAGTCATTGTGCTACAGTACTTCAGGCAGTCGGGCTCCCGATCACCCCATATATATGTACAACTGCAAGTATGTATCTCCGGCAGCTCCT